TATCATGGCCTGCTATCCCACAGAAAGTATCCAACGTAAACTGTAGTCACAAGCTACATTTCCATTGCAAATGTGCACAAGTCTTTGTCTTTCTTGTGCTAAGGTTGAAAAAGCACAACTTCACACCATGTTTTCATACAAATCAAAAAACAAAATTAAAATTGCGCGTGAATATGCTCGTTTACACAAAAAGTCATTAAAAATCATGGCATCTGTGGATTTAAAGTTACATTCATCACGACTTCCCTTCCTACTTCTTTGCTCCTTTGGCTTTGTGATGCTGCCAATTATCTCATTCTCCTAAAAACGGTGATAATTGGGTGCCGTGGTGGCGCAGGGGTTAAGTGTGACTCACATATGGCTGTCATACATGTACATATATGACGGCAAGTTCGATTCCCAACCTGGCAACCATGTCTTCCCCCACTCATTACCCACTTTGCTGTCAATTCACTATCCATTAAAGGGCAGTAGAGCCAATAAAAACTAAAAAAAAAACCAAAAGGTTATAATTTGTGCAGGGAAAATATTTTTAAGTAAACAGCAAGCTAAAGATGCATGGCAACCTTTTTATGTGATTTGTTATTTGTAAAAAAAAATAATACAACAACAAAAATACAACAAGCCAAGTGCCGGTTTCCTTCCACTTCACAACTATCCACAAAAACAACACAAAATCCCAATAAAACACATTGTAGTTTGGGTTCAAAAGCTACGCGTCCTTTTGCAAGCTACTGTACACCCAGTTTTATTCTTAATGAAGAGCGTACAGTGTCATTCATGTGGCAACACTTTGACTCGGCCGACACCCAGAGGCAAATGTGCCCGGCACTCTTTCTGCACCCTTCAAGTCTTCTTTCTGTAGCGTCTGGAAAGCCACATCTATCACTGGAGCGCTGACTGGGAGAGCCCATTAAAACACACAGCCCAACGAGGACTCACTGTGTGTGTGTGTCTGTGTGTGTGCATCTACTGGTGGAGGAATTACAGATTTAAAAAAATATATATTTTCTCAAAGGATGCCAATTTTCTGTTCTGTGAGAAACACTTAAACAGTTTCAAGGGTCCTCTAAATCTCTTTAACCGGCCATGCTGAGCAGTTTTTTGGATGCTCCTCGCAAGCAGCAGAGCTGCTCTGCAGATTCCATGAAAGTTATCAACAATAATTTTATATAGCTGACCATAAAAGAAAACTGACATGGAATTGCCGTCATATATGTTCATCGCATCTCTTGAAGAGCCCCATAAAACAGGGACACGACTTTACGGCTGAATTGAGCTAGCTGAGGTTGTGGCGTCTTGTGACGTTTGGTCTGTAACTTTTTAGCTTTTGCTTCATTTTGACCCAGTATAATTTTTACAAATGACAAGTTGAAAACCGTGGTGTGATTTTTCGTCTACTCCCTCACCTCTAATATCCCTACATAAAATAATCACCAATGCTTTTTTCTTTTTTTTTTACAAGGCAATGCTAAATCCACCATCCAAAAATTGAAGGAGCTACAGAAATCCACAGCCAAGGTGAGACAATCTGTTGATAGGACATAACTATTATTCACAGGTTGACAGTTCTGGCCTGATGGCAGAATATTAAGAAGGGAACATTCTTGAACCACCCTGTAGACTACTGTCCTGAATTTACTTCAATTCACTTCCAGTCTTAATGCATCCATCCCAGCGATCCCAGTTAACACATTGATCCACGCATACCAAAAATCGTATCTGAAGCCACTTGTCGCCGAACGGCTGCAGTTTCTGCCTAATTTTTGCCGACTTGTGAAAGACAAACAAACTGAAGACCCAAATCAATGATGCGTATTCAAATTGTCAACTGTTGTGGAAATTACTTGATAGCAGAAAGACAAATAATTTATTATTTTTTGTTTGTTTGCAAATACATTTTGCAAACAGAAGATGTGTTTGCAAGAGACGGCAGTTCCATTCAGATGAGGCCAAGGCAGAACTTTTTTGGCTTACAAGTGAAACTCTACGTATTGGCGAAAAACCAGCCCCGCATATCACCCTGAACGCACCATTCCCTTGATGAAACATGGCGGTGGCAGCATCATGTGTACAGGCTGGAAAAGAGCTGCGACTGCATATGAGCAAATGTTTGTCGGAATGGCCCAGCCAAAGCCCGCTCCCAATTCCGATTGAGTATTTGTCGCGAGATTTGTATTCACGTTTTTAAATCCATTTCTGACTGATTTTGAGTTATTTTGCTGGTTCTTAAATATGCAAAGCTGGAAGAAATACAACTCTAAAAACACCTAACATTAGGCTTAAATTTCAAATAGGGATTAAATGAAATATTCTGAAGGAGACAGTGTGTATGTCAACTGTTTGTAATATTGTTGTTTCTTTTCTTTTCAACAAATAATAAGCCGGCAGTTTAAAGTCATTTTCTGGTCTGTGGTCATTAATACAGTTACACATTTTTCTATTCCCGTAGCCGAATCTAGCACCGGTCTGATTGTCTGTTCTAATAACTGTAAACACATCGTGAGTGCTGCATTCGCCCTTGTTAAATTATTTAATTGCCACCGAAAAGGTGCCCTCTGACTCCACGCCGAGGACACGATCCGCTCCCATTAAAAACCTCCGCACGTCATGATAAACCCCGCTTTGTTTCTAATACATCCAAGGAAAAAAAAACATTTATTGGACTAATTACATTGCCCCTGCATTAGATTTTCTTCCTGCGTTACACATGTTTTGGCAGAGTTCCCAGCATTGTGTCAATGTGACTGCCGTGTTAAGTGCCAGGCGGGGGGGGGGGGGGGGGGGGGAAACCAGGAATACAGAATAAACCAATTATGACTTGGTGCGGCATATGGGCACGCGATTTTCTCATGTCTAGAAGGAAACTGAAAGTCTCAAGAGGATTTAAGCGCTGCTCTGCTGCAGATACACGGCTGTTGTTTTACCAAAAAGTGCCTTTGCAGTTTGAAAGTTTTCAAAAGCTCCTGGAAATTTAGATGTGACCGAACTGTCTAGTCAAAGTTTTGACCCTACGCCACCATGCAGAACTTCAGAAGTAGATAATGTTGCAGGATAACAAAGATCCTGCTATTGCAATAGTAGGATTTTATTCAGGCAACATTAAGCTATCTCATCTTGCTTTAATGGAAAGTAGGATGGTTTTGCTGACATGGCGTTGTTCATCTAATAATCCATATCCAGACGCAGTTCAATTTAAAAAACAATCAGCATATTTACACTCTAAACTTCTCTAAATCTCTAAATCATGTTGGGGGGAAGTTTTAAATGTCCACATGCCTGATCATACTCCACTTGATTAGCAGAACCGTGCTAAACTAAGTGATGGATTCCTACTAGAGACCTTAAAGTTTGCAGGGGGCCCTGTGGTGCAGCGGCCAATCACAATAAGGAGACCTGAGTCCTTACCTCTAACATGTTATAAAATAAACCGCACAACTAAGTTGCCAGTTTGGTTTATATATAAATTATGAATAAATATGAGAATAAGAAACATCTGCGTTTCGGGGGATTTGGACAGGTGGAGTCAGAGGTCAAAATGTGATTTTGATGTCAGTTTGTTTTTGGCTGTTTTATTGCTCAATGTTAAAAACGTTTAAACTGAGCTGAGTGTCTGTTATTTCATCACTAACATGGTTTGCTGAGGCAACTTGATATTTCTTTCTACGTGACAGCAACAACAGAAATGTGTCAAAAGAACGGTTACGTTTTTCAACAGCGTTTCTCTTCAAACTTAGAGGTTTTTATTCCTCTAACAATAAAACGAGCGGAGTTATATAACAATGTACACACAAGTTTCTTGTTTTTTATCATCTCTTTAAATTTATATATGCACTTATGTTTTTATTTGGTTTGCGTTTGCAGTTAAATCGCTGTAAAACTGAAAGCCGCTAATTATTAAGTTGATCTGTTCAATATAAATGCACCCCTTGACATTTTTCACACTTTTTGTCACAGTACAAGCTGCAATATGTTGCATATGACAGACAAAAATAAAGAGGCGAAAAAAAAAATATGCTAACATGGTTAGCATTTAAAAATGCAAATCTGAAAAGGCTTGTATTTAATTGCAGAACATTAATGAACCATCAGCATCATGAAGATCCAGGATATTAAAATTTTTTAAAATGCTGAATTTAGCTTATGAAACAGCTCTTCAGATCATGAACAAAAGTATTGTTCTGACTAGTTTTGCTGCGTATGCAGCAAAACTAGTCAGTTGGGTAAGACTAGAAAACTAATGTTCACCGATTCTCTTCATCAAGTCACCTGAGCTTTAACTATTTTGCAGCGCAGTTAAAAATGAGGAACGTAAACCTCACTCAAAGTGTTAGTGCATGGCGGATGCATCTGTTTATGAGAAGGTGGCAAATCATAATTTAAATTTTTTTTTTTTTTTTTTTCAGCCATCTGTGAAATGGCTGAAAATAGGCCGTGGAAAGTACAGTTACTGAGCAAATTAAGACAAGAAGGTACTTTATATTTGAAATGGAATTATTCAGAGGAAACAAATTTGCGTAGGGCAAAAAGTAAAACATTAAAATAAAAAGTGAAATTACCGGTTCCATAAAAGCAAACATCCTGAGCCAACACAGCTCTTTGCTGAAGTATGGTTTTGGTTGGTTTCATCATTTTTGACTTCAGACAACTTCAGTGAAGTTCACATATTTGCGGGGGGGAGGAAAGTGCAAAACTTAAGGTGGAATTACACTTGTTTTTATCCTCATTTTAACTAAACCACAAATCCTCAACTACAAACTTTTCACAGCAGGTCCAGAGTTCAAAAGATTTCTGCTCAGTTGTTACTTCTGCTGCACGTTGCTTTAAAGATGGAAGAAAACAGCAACATTTCCAAACTCACTGCTCTGTTTTTTTTCTTGTTTTTTTAAATGAATTGAAACTTTTGAACTATTCACCTTCGCAAATGTTTTTGAAATACTTCCCTTCTGCTCTGCCAACCTACGTTGCAACAGATACCTGAGTTAGTATAAATACCAGCACTCTGCTCACATTCAGACATCGAGATCGAAGCAACTCAACTTGGCTTTCTGAAGCTCCAGCCGGAAAACGACTCTCTGAAAATGAATGCTTTCACTCTTGCCATTGCTGTGGCTGTCTTGGTGACAGTCATTGGGGTCCAGGAGAGCTCTGCTGACCTGGTGATTGAGGTCAGATTTATAGTTTGTATTTATAGTAATGCAAACTATAAATTGACACTGATTTATAGTTTGTATTACTGATGACGTTTGGTGTACATTAACAAAACTCTTACAGGGAGCTGAACTGATGGACGGATTGACCAATGGCAGCCCAGTTGCTGCTGGTGAAGACAACCCAGAGGACTCCTGGAAGGTAAGCTGAAGAAATTACCATCAGTCTGACTATAGATATATAAACCCTCAACAGATCTAGAAGCCAAATTATTGCAAAGGTTCTGTTTTTTGTTTTTCGAAGTATGATTTTTTTCTTCATTTTAAACATGTTGAACATGCTGAAAATGAGGTCTATAAACATCTTATAAATATATATATTTTAAAATTTGCATTTATTGGCCTTACAGCTGCATTTTATATATAGACATAGCTTTGTTTGTGAATTTCTCATTTGTAACGATAGTAGTTGGGAGGTGCGTTGTTGAATAGGTCGTGGAATGTCGGGTTACCGAGCAAACAGAGACAAAAAAGTATGCCATATTTGAAATGGCATCGGATTTTAAACTGATTTATTCTTTTAAATGACATTTCTTTTATGTCCCTACACAGATGCCATACAACTCACTCCAAATGCGCCGCCGCCGCCGCTGCCGTTTCTGCTGCGGCTGCTGCCCCGGGATGAGAGGCTGTGGCATCTGCTGCAGATTCTGAGAAGCCAGAAGAAAACTTCAACTACATAAAAAAAAAAAACAAACAAACAAAAAAAATCACTTCTCTACATTTGCTTATTTATATGTAGTTGAATATTGCATTACTTTTTGAAGGATGTGAGTGGATTTCATCTTTTCATCCATTTTGCTTGAGAAAACATGCAGACATGTCCTGCAAAATAAAAATCGCTGCAGACGGTGATAATTTGAGCAGAGGTGTGATATTTTTTTGTCATAATAAATGTTGCCCCTCGATACATTTTGTCTTGTGTGTTTCTTCATGTTTGGCTTTGCTAAGTTGTTGCTAAGGTGCAAAAATAAAACCTCTTGAAAATATGCTTTTATACCAGATACTGCAGCACACCATCAGGAGTTTAGTGGTTGCTTTTGAACGTAATTCAATTATTAATACTTAAACCTATAGAAACCTAAGTGTGTTTTTACCCAAACTACATATCTGCATATTTACTGCTGTCTATTGCATTCCACTGTAGCTGTAATTCCCATAACATTTTGCATCTATTTAGTAAAATTTATGACTGTCTTTTTGCAAATTAACAAAATGTTATTTATCTTATAGTCATGCTCAATTAGATTTTTCAGTACTTTTTAAACAAAACTAAAGGTCGTCAACTTGATATCCTCAAAGTTCAGAGGTCTTCCAAGGAGGGTAGACTTTTCTCTTTTCAGCTCCTCTTATGGACCGCTAAATCGGTGGGAGATTGATAAGAGACGTCACAAAGCGTTTGTGCAACTGCCCTGCGCAAAAAGACAGATGCAGAACAACACATAGCTATGAAGCAGGTTTTAAAAAAATATTTTAAATGGAGAGTTGTGCACAAGTAATTATTTTCCTTCACTCAGGTGCCTCTAAATAGAATCCAATACAAGGCAACTTACATATCCGATACGTATCCCATTCAAATGCGACCTAAAGTCCACGTCACATTCATTCCACCTGAACGCCACTGATACTCGACAATTAACTGGTTCCATAAACAGCTTCGGTGCCCGCAACTTCTCTGGTAGGAATCTCCTGTTGTTTGCTCATTCACATCCTTAAGTTGTTTTTGCAAGAGTCAAGCAACAGCATGACACGAAGTCAGGATTTTCAGATGTTGCGGAAGATGTGTCTGTAAAGAATGCTGAAACAATCAGCCAAACCGGCCCCGAACCTGGACGATTCTTTGTCCGACTGATTCAACAAGGTAGCAGAAACATTATTTGAGAAACTTTTGGTTACACTGAACTAATAACTAATTATATCTTTTCTCTAACTGCAATTGTAGAGGGTGTCAAAACTTGCATTGTTAAAATCAGAAGGACATTGAAACCCGGCAGAAAAGATTATGTTTATGCAGGAAGTAAAGTCAGCATTTCAAAGCGCTGAACCGACTCCAGCTGAGACAAAATGTGTAAGCCTGATAAGATGCTCTGTGTGGATGGGTCGAACTGTACAAAGTGTTCAACTCTTAACGAATTGAGATTTCACAATATTTCCATTCAACAAAATTTTGAAAAGCACAAAATGACACAATCACATCTTTGATTTTGTTGCCTTGGATTTAGACATTTTTAAAAGCAGCCAGCTCTCGCTTGGAAGAATTGTCACCCTAAATGAGTGAATGTATAACTCACATATGAAAATGTGAAAGGACTGGAGTTTGTTTTCTAAACATGGAGAAAACACAGAAAAGCAAGTCTACAAAAGACGGGTAAATTATTCTTTTTCTAACAAATAGCATAATTAGCTACTTGTAGAACAGATTTCTTCATTTCTTAAGAAAAACAAGGTGAATCCCAGCAAATGTCATCACATAGAACACTGTGTGCTGATAATAACGTATCTATTTTGCAGCGCAGCGGCTGCACTGAAACAGACGATGCTGGGTTTTCTGCAGTTGCGCAATATCTCTCTCCTTTCTTTTTTCTTTTTTTTCTGTTCCACTACTCTCAGACAAGAAAACATATTTATCACACAAGCAAAATGTGTCTCATTGTACCCTTTTGACACAAGTAAAAGGAAGATGAATTACCAAAGTGACTCGTGAGTGTTTGTGGAGGTTTTTTGGCTTGTGATTTAAAAAAATACATTTTCATTGGTTTTACAGCTTCTGCCATAGTAGATCTTCTTGTTGGGTCTATGTTGCCAGTTTGTAAGGGAGTTCCCTTTTCTGAATAGCTTATTTCGTTTAGTGTGTTTGTTTTGATTATTCTCATTTCTGCTTTATTTCAATTGGAGTCATAAGTTTAGACATGCAAGTTTGTTTTTCCTTCTGTCTAGTTTTGTAGTTTATTCTTAAGATTCAACTGTTTTTATGTTTCTCTTCGTCACTCCTGTCAAGTTCTAGTGTTAGTATCTAGAACTTGATTTTCTTCCTGACTCATTACTTAGTACTACTCATTTAGTTGTTTTTGTCCTTGTGTTTGGTTTCTTAGTGTTCTTAGATCACTGTTTCTCCTATTGATCCCAGTTTCTGTTCAATGTCAGCTCAGCTTACCTGACCCGTTCCCTATCAGATCTGTTTCTTGTTTTATTGTTACTATTCCAGGTTAACGTGATAAGCTGTTAATCCCATTAATAATAAATCGCTTTAGCAAACACCTGCACATTCCATAGTATTGCCTATGCAAGAACTTTCATTACATTTGTGTGTGTGTGTGTCAGTCAGACAAAAACCCTGAAGGTTACATCATCAGCAGACGCGGTACGCTGCGTCTCATGCAGAATAAAATTTATGCAACATCTAGAAGAATGCTTTTCTGACCTACAGAACCTGTGAACTGACTCATTTACTGTAAGCAGAGTCTAAACGTACAAACTGTCTCAACTGTGGCTCAGATTTCTCAACATTTAGCGGATCCACTTCTGCCTTTTAGAAGTAAGTCATATAAAGAACTCTTTATGCTAAATCTATAAAACAACGAAGGAATAACATTCTGTTATTTTGAGCTAATTCAAAGTTGAAATGTAACATTCAGACTTTCTGCATGGTGCTTATCTCTCCCCCGCAGTGGGAAATGCCGAGCTGATCCCATAACGTGTTCCTGGTTGTGATGCAACAGCTGCTCTGGTGGGTAGAAATACCAGCAACTTTCCTACGTCCTGTTATCAGGCAGGAGGAATAAAGAGCTGATATCAAGCTCAGAACAAATCCTTCAGATTTTAAGCCCTTCACCCAGTCAAGATGAAGACGTTTCCCATCGCCGTCGTCACCGTGGCCCTCGTTGTCGCGTTCATCTGTGTCCAGGAGAGCGACACTGTTCCAGCTGCTGAGGTGAGAGCTTCATCTGAACCTTATGCCGTTGAAATGTTACCATGTTGATTCTAAATGTACTGAATGAACTGTTTAACAGAGCTCTGATGTGGTGGAGCTGCCGACTGACTATGGCGTACTCGATTTGGATCAAGATATGCCAGAGGACTCAATAGATGTAAGGGTCAACTGGATGAATGGACGAATGAATGAATGGAGTATTTATGAAGGGATTTTTCTTATTAATTCATTTGTGGCCCAAGGAAGGGAGATGTGAGGATGTTAATAAAGCCCTTTCCTTGTGTCCTGCAGACGCCGTATGAATCAGTCCTGCTGCGCAGTCGTCGGCGCCGTCCTCGTCGCTGCCGTTTCTGCTGCGGCTGCTGCCCCAACATGGTTGGCTGTGGAACCTGCTGCAAGTTCTGAAGCCGTCCTGCTGCCGCCGGAGCAAAACATGGAAAAGATCAAAAGCAGCACAGCATACTTATTGCACAAGTTTTCAACCTGATAGAACATTTTTACAAGGTGTTTGACAGGAGCTGATATTACAATTTTATCTGAAAACAAATGATATTATAACTGAGCAGAGATGTGTAGAAAAAAAATAGGCTTGGGCAGAAATGGATATTAGTTCTGCTTAGTTAATTTGTCTAATGGGTTGAATGTTTTTTTCCTCACAATAAATGTTATCAAACTTCCCCAATCTTCTGTGTGTCTTTAAAGATGGTGGTGGATTCAACATGTTTTTGTCATGTTTTTATCCATGGAATCGATTCCCATTTGGAAACATTTTAGAGTGCCAAGTTTTTGAATGACAGAAATCACAGACACACATTAAAAAACGCAAAAAAAAAAAAAGACTATTTCACCCTTAGCAGAATTTTGGGTAAATAGAGTATACAAGAACTACAGTAAATTAGTGAGGATATAGTCATCAAATTATGTGTTAATATTAATCAGTTAAGGTATTAATAGGTGCCCGCCCATAGCAATGCATGGCAGGCATCTATCCTACACACAATAGGATGTCTCTTTATTTATATCTTTATTTTTCTTCCATCACCGTTAATGCGGCTCGTACTGCTGCGGCACACCCACATGGTATCAAACGTTCGGCTCGATGCCAAGAAGGGAGCTATTACTTTTAGTGGGATTCGGAGTTATCATGGTGACGTAAAAAGTGAAAAACGACGGAAATTCCTCACTCAGAGTGAGGAATGAAGTAGATTTTTGACCCCGAAACCATTTTGGAATTGCCGTCACGCCCACAAATATCACCCTATCGGTATCAAACACGGATATGACATTGATACGCATGCCTGCTCCGGTAAAATGTTTTCAAAATTTTGCTAGGGTTTACAGTTTTTTCTCAAGGTACTTCAGAGAGAAATCATGCACCAGGGTAACTGACGCTCTGAGCCATTCATTTTCATACTTTTCTGAAAGATTTGAGAGCTCAACGCACACCATTTTTCTCTCAGCCCTGCTATTACTGTGAGTGAGCTACATATATGAATTGCCATACCATCGGAAATAGCCCTCTCATATGCATTAGACGGTTTTCCGATACGTAACACGGTTCCCGAATGGGAAGGAGTTGTTCGGACTGCTTTTTTTCATAAAAACTAACTGGGTGTCTCACAAAGATAGAATTCTTTCTCCATCTTTCGGTCTCACACATGACAGTTCAGCTGAGCTGAGAGAGAGACAGCCCAACCCGCCGTGTGTGTTCCAAAACAAAGCAGATGTTGAAGTCAAACATTTACTGTCAGTCCTCATTTTATGTAAGATATACACAAATTTACTGAAGCTTCAAATAGTTTACATTTTCTTTTACCAACATGTATTAATGTTTGACTCCAACTCTAATGAACAGAATCCTGTTTTAAGGTTTAAACTATGTGTAATACAAAAGAGATCTCAATGTAATTTATAATTACAGCAACCAATTGATGGAGTTTCTGCTTAAGCGCTTCATTAATTTTTTTTATAAATAATAG